TTTATTGTTATAATTATCATATGCAAAATAAATGAGGAATGTAGGCGAGAAAGTTCTGAACTGGATTACTTCCCTTGAGTTGCATCCAGCCAGGAAGGTAGACCCGTAGATAGCTAACCTAGATGCCGCACGGCCTATCTGCGACTGTTGACGCAACACTTTTTGTTTGTTTGTTTGTTTTTTTTTTTTTCATATTTTGCCCAAATTCATTGAATTGAATTAAGTCTCTAGTTCGATTTCTGTAGCAAATTACATGACCTTTGACACACGGGCCTCAAAATCAAGTCACTGTGTACCCTTTGTACAACTGATCTATGTACAAATATGACAAATATAAGTCAAATGGAAAAGAAGCTGATGCACGGAAATGTAAAACAATATGTCGCTTTTACACGGCATACCAAAAGAAGGACACGAGCTACTATATGTTTTCTTCAAACATGGCATTAAGTAACATTTTTCAGTTGCTATATCTGTAAAATTGTGATTCGAATTTATGTTTTCCAAACATGATTGCATCAAATAAGGTAATATTGAAGACCTTAAATATGGTCAAGAATTAAGGGAAACAATCATCCATACGTGATGAATTAAAAAACCATTATATGATTTCAAGTTTCTTTTTTAAACAGAATAAGACCTCAATGATAACTATTTCTTTGTTATTTAAACTTTGGTAGGAATATTTGTTAGTTTCGTGCTGGTATGATAGAAAACAATTTTGCGAACATATCATGAATGCGCTTCGCATAATTAGATAGATTTCGAAAACAAAAATAACTCGTAAATGCATAAATTTGTTGATTTAATGACAGATTATTTCATAACAAATTACAAAGCATAACAGCTGTTTTTTTTGCGTACAAACAACGAAACATTAATTATACAAGTTTGAAACTGATTCAGGATATTATTTATAATATTATAATTTATGTCCATGACATTATACACGTGTTTGAGAGATTTGAATTATAATATCTAAGCATTTTTTTCCAAACATCACTTTTTCACCCAAGCAAAACATCGGTAACATTATTTTGTTTTCAGTGAAGACAAATTGATAAAAAATAAAACATCGTTTCCTAAATTAGTGTTTTACAACTGTCACGTTGCATTCCAGTGTCTAAAAGACTTAGAATATAGCAGAACCTTGTTATCTCGAACTCGGCGGGAACACGAGAAAGTTATGCAGTGACTGAAGAAAGGACTCGAATTAAACGGGGTCTTCGAATTATATGCGTTCGAGATAACGAGGTTCGTTGCATATTTCTGCTTTTAGACAATTAGTATTCACAGTCATGTTTATTTTTTTGAAACATGACAATTTAATCAGAGGAAATTCACCGAATGACGTTTTTCCAGTGTTTGAAAAATTAATACAATTGTACGTATTATCTCGACCTGATTTGAATGTCATAGACGACGTTTTAATTTCTTGCCAGTCAAATTATTATTTACTGTGAAGGTTTTTCAAACATTTTTGTTTTAATGTCCTCGACGGGTTCACTCCTTTGGGCATATCATTCTCCCTTTTATTGTACCGATATGTTCAATTGTGTGGTGTAAACAGCAGTAATCAACAAAGCAGAAGTACTGCATAAAGAAATATGTATGTTTCCTTACAAAAAATAACAATAATTCCTGGGTCATCACGATCGTGACTTCACAAGAAGTCTGGCGTTAAACTTATGAAAGTTATTAGAACACGCAAGAGAGTTGGTTTAAAGTACGTCTCGTCATATTTTGGAATAGTCTAGCTTAATACTGTGCCATCATGATCACTCATGATTGAAGTTAAATTAAATCTACGAAGATTAATGCAACTTTTTTTCTTTTAAAACAAATGGGAAAAACAAATTTTAGATTTTCATTGCGATGACTTCTCTTTACTATGCTGCAGTTTTCATAACTTAACCACTGCGAGCGATGTCCTTAAGATGGGGAAGTGGAATAGGTCCGTGAAATGGAAGGCTTGTCGATTTTACAAAAATGTTTATGAAAGCTAAGACAAACTTTTTGACAATGAGCATGCACCAATGACCACGGCAGGACAGGATCCAACATCTTCAAAACATCCCTCCAAATGCAATATAGTTACTAGGATAAATAGTACTAAAAACGATATTATGAAGCTGCATCCAAAAATTCTCTTTCGGATACCATTGTCATTTTACGTCCGACATTATAAAATTTTTAATAATGCCAACAGGATCTACATACCTAGTTCAGTCCGCATCTGGAGAACTACTGTAAGTCCATACACGGCAAGATAAACATTACAAAATTATATTTTCATATTTGAAGGACGTTAAATAACAGCATACAAAAAAAGAGCTCTTAAGTTTTTATAATTTTTTTACAAGATAATATATCTGTGTGGCTTGATGTACACACATATATATATATACGCCACATCTATCCTCTGTCAGACCCCTGTGAGACGTACATACATAGATACACCACATCTATCCTCTGTCAGACCCCTGTGAAACATACATACAAAGATACACCATGGCTATCCTCTGTCAGACCTCTGTGGGACATACAAAGATACACCACAGCTATCCTCTGTCAGACCCCTGTGACACATACATACATAGATACGCCAGGGCTATCCCCTGTAAAACCTCTGTGAGACGTACATACAAAGATACACCACAGCTATCCTCTGTCAGACCCCTGTGAGACATACATACATAGATACACCACAGCTATCCTCTGTCAGACCCCTGTGACACATACATACATAGATACACCACATCTATCCTCTGTCAGACCTTTGTGGGACATACAAAGTTACACCACATCTATCCTCTTTCAGACCCATGTGAGACATACATACAAAGATACACCACAGCTATCCTCTGTCAGACCCCTGTGAGACATACATACATAGATTCACCACAGCTATCCTCTGTCAGACCCCTGTGAGACATACATACATAGATACACCACAGCTATCATCTGTCAGACCCCTGTGAGACATACATACATAGATACACCACAGCTATCCTCTGTTAGACCCATGTGACACATACATACATAGATTCACCACATCTATCCTCTGTCAGACCCCTGTGAGACATACATACATAGATACACCACATCTATCCTCTGTCAGACCCCTGTGACACATACATACATAGATACACCACATCTATCCTCTGTCAGACCCCTGTGACACATACATACATAGATACACCACATATCCTCTGTCAGCTATCCTCTGTCAGACCCTCTGTGAGACATACATACAGAGACATACATACATAGATACACACGGCTATCCTCTGTCAGACCCCTGTGAGACATACATTCATAGATACACCACAGCTATCCTCTGTCAGACCCATGTGAGACATACATACATAGATACACCACAGCTATCCTCTGTCAGACCCATGTGAGACATACATAGATACACACGGCTATCCTCTGTCAGACCCCTGTGAGACATACATACATAGATACACCACAGCTATCCTCTGTCAGACCCCTGTGAGACATACATACATAGATACACCACATCTATCCTCTGTCATGTGACCATACATACTGTCAGACCCCTGTGAGACATACATACATAGATACACCACATCTATCCTCTGTCAGACCTTTGTGGGAGATACAAAGATACACCACAGCTATCCTCTGTCAGACCCCTGTGAGACATACATACAAAGATACACCACAGCTATCCTCTGTCAGACCCCTGTGAGACATACATACATAGATACACCACAGCTATCCTCTGTCAGACCTTTGTGAGACATACATACATAGATACACCACATCTATCCTCTGTCAGACCCCTGTGAGACATACATACATAGATACACCACATCTATCCTCTGTCAGACCCCTGTGACACATACATACATAGATACACCACATCTATCCTCTGTCAGACCCCTGTGAGACATACATACATCCTCTGTCAGACCCCTGTGAGACATACATACATAGATACACCACAGCTATCCTCTGTCAGACCCCTGTGAGACATACATACATAGATACACCACAGCTATCCTCTGTCAGACCCCTGTGAGACATACATACATAGATACACCACAGCTATCCTCTGTCAGACCCATGTGAGACATACATACATAGATACACCACAGCTATCCTCTGTCAGACCCAGACATACATAGATACACCACATGTGATCCTCTGACCCCTGTGACATACATACATAGATACACCACATCTATCCTCTGTCAGACCCCTGTGAGACATACATACATAGATACACCACAGCTATCCTCTGTCAGACCCCTGTGAGACATACATACATAGATACACCACAGCTATCCTCTGTCAGACCCCTGTGAGACATACATACATAGATACACCACAGCTATCCTCTGTCAGACCCCTGTGAGACATACATACATAGATACACCACATCTATCCTCTGTCAGACCGACCCCTGTGAGACATACATACATAGATACACACAGACATATCATAGATACACCACATCTATCCTCTGTCAGACCCCTGTGAGACATACATACATAGATACACCACAGCTATCCTCTGTCAGACCCATGTGAGACATACATACATAGATACACCACAGCTATCCTCTATACACCACAGCTATCCTCTGTCAGACCTTTGTGAGACATACATACATAGATACACCACATCTATCCTCTGTCAGACCCCTGTGACACATACATACATAGATACACCACATCTATCCTCTGTCAGACCCCTGTGACACATACATACATAGATACACCACATCTATCCTCTATCAGACCCATGTGAGACATACATAGATACACCACATCTATCCTCTGTCAGACCCCTGTGACACATACATACATAGATACACCACATCTATCCTCTGTCAGACCCCTGTGACACATACATACATACATAGATACACCACATCTATCCTCTGTCAGACCCATGTGAGACATACATAGATACACCACATCTATCCTCTGTCAGACCCTTGTGAGACATACAAAGATACGCCACATCTATCCTCTGTCAGACCCCTGTGAGACATACATACAAAGATACGCTACAGCTATTCGGTCAAAAGCAGGATTCGTGTAAATTGACGCTCGTGCCGATTTCCAGTAAGCCCTGATTGCCAGGTGATAATGTCCTATTGTTTGGTAACATATCCCTCGGATAGTGTGAACTATCCATGATATTCGTCCGTCCTCTACATCATCATACTTGACTTGTTCCAATTTCTGTAATATTGCATCACAATCCGCGATTTCTCCAAGCTCGTGGCAGCACAGGAAGGTCAGAAACAAGGCATAAGGCATTGGTGGGACCAGTAAGTATTCAACCACGTTTGAAAGTTCTAGACTCAAATGAGGGAGACACATTCCCTTAGGATAAAACATCAACGTTTTCATGTATATTTGCTGTAATCTTTGATATACCTGAACTTGGCGAAAATATTCAGGTTTGTACACTTCTCGTAGATGATGATGACTGTATCCACAATATGATGTCATTGCCTGTATGCTCATCGCCAGTGATTTTCTGAAATCTCCAATCAGAAAATGGAAAGTCGCCAGATGCAATAGCTCTGTACCCATTATAGCGTTAGGAACCATCCAGTGTTTACATTTCTTGAGTCTTCTGTACGTTGTCTTGTTATCTGCAGCAACCACTGAACGCACAAAAATCTTTTCTGCAAGTAGCTGTAGGCTTTTCATAGCATAGCGATGGATGAAAATGTCATCCGTATCTGTGCGGGATGTTATTAATAGCTGAAATGCCTTCCTAGTAGTTTCGAGCGTGAGACCTCTGGTCCAACAAATATTTGGTAAAACCTCAACCGTTAACAGATCCTGATTCAGTATAATTTCACCAAGAGGTATTGGGCGTTCAAGTTCAGTTTGAAACGATGCGTCAGACAGATAGTTCCATATTGGTTTGAAGTAATTTCCCACTGACAGACACTTCCACTTCATCTGACTGTAGTGGTTTAAAACATCCAACAAAATTTGTTGATGTTGTCCATGCACTTTCCTTTGGAACAAATTGTTGGCTGGAATGAAGTAATTGGGACAGAACCCTGCACTGACCCAAGCAATAAGAATATTGAAGCAAAGCCAAAAGCAATAAAACATATTTTTGTCTTGCCAAAATTCTTGTCTCGAATTCTCTATTGCATGAAATAGAATTGTTTTCAAAAAATAGGAACACAAGATTTCATCATCTCCAATTTTTTCTTTTAATGTCGCTTTAATTTGTTTTAAGAAGTACTTCAACAAAGCATACACTTTAAACTGGACGTGACTGAAGGAATGAACCAAAGATCTTTCGGCAGTTGCAAAAGAGATTCTCCATTGTAAAAACGTGTCTTCAGAACATTTATCTCCAACTGGAACAAGATGGCATCCTCTCTGTACAGTCTTGTTTATCAAGGTTTGGCTTGGCCATCCATACAGACGTGAACGTGTGATCCATTCTCTAGCCTCCTGTGGCCAAGTGTTACATGAAAAACAATAAACGTTATCCGAATCATGATGCTCCCTGAATGTAACGCTGGGTCCATTGGATTTGAATTCTTCGCCTAATTCTGCACTAAATTCACTTAAATGGTATTCTCTGTACATATCACTGGATACAAACTTGGAATTCCCAACCTGGACAACAGAATGTAAAAATCTTTCGTTATATCGAGGTCCTAGATGAACTACCTCTAAATGTACATAGCCAGGCCGACAAGCTGCCTTTCTCATGTACAGAATATTTTTTCGTTTCATGTTTTGAGAAATATACTGATTCGAGTTCATCACCGACGCGTCTCTGTCTACGTACATACAGTCTGTATCTGAACCTTTGAAACGAAATCCTTCTGCTTGGCTTCCACTTTCAATGAAAGAAAAGTGATTGTTGTCCACAGTTCTTAATAGTTCACCCAAGACTACTCCCTTCCTTCGGATATCAACCTCCGTCTGTGTTCTAGTATAATACCTCTCCAAAAATGTTGACAGGAGTAGGGATATCCGCTCACTCTCTTTGTGGTCCATCATAAAGCTTTCGAGAATCTGTAAATATTACAAGCAAATATAATACTTAACTGAACCGTTATAACATTGTCTAGTAAATACACGAGAAATGTAAGTTCGGAAGACTTCTATAAAAATATATATACAGACATTTACGATCACTATTTTTGAAATCGAAAAATAACCCCCTCCACCATAAGACTAATAACAATTGTGTTTATATCGACAAAAGACCAATGTGCTTTCTGTTTTGAAGTAACACCTACCTGACTAAAAGATGAGTCCGCAACTTCAATAGTGATCTTACGGTCTAGCTTGGAAGTAGGACATGATTGAACAGTACTTCATATTTCGTAAATCCGTGAGATTTATATACGCAGTTCTTTATATGTTTAAACAAGGCTCAGTTAAATCCTGTGATTGACACAATAACACACGTGACTTAAGTGCTTCATCACATGACTGATGTACTTTTCTTGACTTTTCTTAACTTTCATAATGATTATAGATAAACGGAAGTTTTCCCACTGATATGTTAGATTTGACCTCAGTGAGAGGTAATATGAAACAGACACTGCCTAAAAGCGAGCGCAAGTTGGTCAACAAGATGCACATTTTGAACAACCTGATCCATGTCTACACTGAAGCGTGTTTTTAGAATTGTATATTTCGCAAGATTTTAATAAAACATCGGCACAAACAAATGTACCAATATATCACAATCATCATCAATACATCTTCTTCCTCTTCGATTCCATTCGGTTCGATTCCCCGAAAGGATATAGGTTTCCTCCCAAAGTTAAACCCCTCGCATGCTTACAACAAATGTGATTGATATAAGTTGAGATGATAAAGTTTCCATATGCAAGTAAGTCCTGAACATGGTTTAAGAGAACTGGTCTGAAAAAAAACTGAACTTTGTAATTTGACCTAACTGTTTTAATGGTAACAGAGAAAGTATTTAAATGGTGAACGTCTCCCATAGCAAAAGATACTACTAGCCTAATATGTGTAAAAAATGAGCTATTATTTTTAATGGTTTCAGAGCATTGGCCCAGAAAAACTGAAATTGATGAGGGTCATCGGTTTCAATGGTAATAGTGAATGTATTAATAAAGTCTTTGACAACATATTTTGACTTTAAAAGTTGATAAGAAAATCTTCAAAATAAATGTACAAGACTTTCCCTTTCAGAGTTACGGATATTGCAAAGAGGACTATCTATCGTCTTTGCTTTTAAAAAAGAAAGGAGTTTGTACATAATGTAGTCAAAGCATGGTGAAAGACAATATATGTTTAGTCGGCTTTGTAAAGGCGATGGTTATGTGTTTAAGGAGTTAACATTATAAAAATCAAAATTTACTCTACCATCGTTTTCTTTTCTCTTTGCTATTGAGATTTTTCGTTCTGTTAATTAACAAATCATAAAAACGCTTCAGGTTTTTTTAGCAATGTTGACTTGTATTGATAGCAAAAAGAGGGTAAAGTTATAAACACGGTTGAGACTATTCTGTTATACATTGTTGTTCAAAAAATCAATATAAATATATATGTTTAAATGAAAGTCTTATTAAAGTCACAATATATTACATAAACTGTATTTTTCTGAAAAAAAAATCCAAACAAACATAACAAAAAAAAACTCACCACTAACAGTTATCTTGTTATCGTGCCTTATATGTGTTTGCTTTCTAAACATTTATAAACATTCAAGTATTTGATCATAATTAATTTCAAACAGTTATCGAAAGAATATCCACATCTTGCAGAATTAATATAGTTAGGAGACGGACAGGTTTTTCGCCAAATCAGGACCTTTCGGCTGCTTTCGTGTAAGAGACGATGTCTTACGGAAAGTGACGAAAGCTCCCGAGGATTGAACCGGAAATTAGGTACATAGGATAACAATCGTGCTCTCATCTTGAATGGTCAAAATTATAATTTTTTCAACGAGATATTTGTTACATGTTTTTCAGGCCATTAAAGGATATGTTTGTTAAATTCATGTGATATTTTGTCGGTCAAAATCATTTTGGTCCATTCAGCGGGTCGGCAGTTTTCATTGCGTGATGCAGTAAATGTATTGTGAGTAATGTTGTTCCCGCCACACTTCCGTTTAAAGTTGATCGTATGGGCAGTTTGTTGGAGCTGAATTACCACACCTACGATACCATAAAACACTCGCTGTGCTCGCTATGAATACGCAGTTAATGGGAGGCCATCAAGCGAAACCTGAGTATTTTAAAAATGAAGTGCGTCCTTCCCGCATCAGTCTGTCTAAAGTATCCTGAATCAGTGTCACTGATATGTTAGATTTGACCTCAACATGAAGTAATATGAAACTGACATTGCCTAAAAGCGAGCGCAAGTTGGTCAACAAGATGCACATTTTGAGCAACCTGATCCATGTCTACACTAAAGCGTTTTTTTTTAAATTGATAGATATAAGGAAGTTTTTCACTGATATAATGTTAGATTTGACCCAATATGAATTATAACTTGCGTATATTACTGTAACTTCACAATAACATTGAAATCTCTCTGTCTTAGAAGGACTAATTCATTTTAGTTAATTTTCCCTTTGAAATTCAATATCAATCTTTTTTATTTGGCTCTACTATATCTATTCGTCTATTCCAAACTTACCGAAATATACCGCCCCTTATCAGCTGTAGGTTGGAAAAAGTGTCACTCGTAACTGTATGTGGGGTTAAGTCTCGATTTGTATGTTGGTGACACAGTAATACTCGGAGTTGTATGTTGGTGACACAGTAAGACTCGGAGTTGTATGTTGGTGACACAGTAAGACTCGGAGTTGTATGTTGGTGACACAGTAAGACTCGTAACTGTATGTTGGTGACACAGTAAGACTCGGAGTTGTATGTTGGTGACACAGTAAAACTCGGAGTTGTATGTTGGTGACACAGTAAGACTCGGAGTTGTATGTTGGTGACACAGTAAGTCTCGAGTTGTATGTTGGTGACACAGTAAGACTCGGAGTTGTATGTTGGTGACACAGTAAGACTCGTAACTGTATGTTGGGAACACACTAAGACTCGGAGTTGTATGTTGGTGACACAGTAAGACTCGGAGTTGTATGGTGGTGACACAGTAAGACTCGGAGTTGTATGTTGGTGACACAGTAAGACTCGGAGTTGTATGTTGGTGACACAGTAAGACTCGGAGTTGTATGTTGGTGACACAGTAAGACTCGGAGTTGTATGTTGGTGACACAGTAAGACTCGTAACTGTATGTTGGTTGACACAGTTGGTGACAGACTCGGAGTTGTATGTTGGTGACACACTAAGACTCGGAGTTGTATGTTGGTGACACAGTAAGACTCGGAGTTGTATGTTGGTGACACAGTAAGACTCGGAGTTGTATGTTGGTGACACAGTAAGACTCGGAGTTGTATGTTGGTGACACAGTAAGACTCGGAGTTGTATGGTGGTGACACAGTAAGACTCGGAGTTGTATGTTGGTGACACAGTAAGACTCGTAACTGTATGTTGGGGACACAGTTAGACTCGGAGTTGTATGTTGGTGACACAGTAAGACTCGTAACTGTATGTTGGTGACACAGTAAGACTCGGAGTTGTATGTTGGTGACGCACTAAGACTCGGAGTTGTATGTTGGTGACACAGTAAGACTCGTAACTGTATGTTGGGGACACAGTAAGACTCGGAGTTGTATGTTGGTGACACAGTAAGACTCGGAGTTGTATGTTGGTGACACAGTAAGACTCGGAGTTGTATGTTGGTGACACAGTAAGACTCGGAGTTGTATGTTGGTGACACAGTAAGACTCGTAACTGTATGTTGGCGACACAGTAAGACTCGGAGTTGTATGTTGGTGACACAGTAAGACTCGTAACTGGAGTTGTATGTTGGTGACACAGAGTTGTATGTTGGTGACTCGTAACTGTATGTTGGTTGGTGACACAGTAAAACTCGGAGTTGTATGTTGGTGACACAGTAAGACTCGGAGTTGTATGTTGGTGACACAGTAAGACTCGTAACTGTATGTTGGCGACACAGTAAGACTCGGAGTTGTATGTTGGTGACACAGTAAGACTCGTAACTGTATGTTGGGGACACAGTAAAACTCGGAGCTGTATGTTGGTGACACAGTAAGACTCGGAGTTGTATGTTGGTGACACAGTAAGACTCGGAGTTGTATGTTGGTGACACAGTAAGACTCGGGAGTTGTATGTTGGTGACACAGTAAGACTCGGAGTTGTATGGTGGTGACACAGTAAGACTCGGAGTTGTATGTTGGTGACACAGTTAGACTCGGAGTTGTTTGTTGGTGACACAGTAAGACTCGGAGTTGTATGTTGGTGACACAGTAAGACTCGGAGTTGTATGTTGGTGACACAGTAAGACTCGGAGTTGTATGTTGGTGACACAGTAAGACTCGGAGTTGTATGGTGGTGACACAGTAAGACTCGGAGTTGTATGTTGGTGACACAGTAAGACTCGGAGTTGTTTGTTGGTGACACAGTAAGACTCGGAGTTGTATGTTGGTGACACAGTAAGACCCGGAGTTGTTTGGTGGTGAGTACGAATACCTATAACTTTAACAGTTCATGTCTTTTTTTTACAATTACTTTACCCGTATTTTACAGCTCTTTGTGTACTTAAAGCGTTATATGACGGCACATAGAGTCACGACTTTTAGTGAAACTCTTTTTAGAAGTAAGTAACGTAATGGTATAGTCTACGAATATGATTGAAGTCCGTCCAGGCCTGTTTGACATTCCACGAGGTATGGCATTGAAATTTCCGCCTAATTACAGGTACCTAGAAAGTAGAAAATGAAGGAAAAAAAACAACTTCGGTAATAGTTTTTGGCAGAACGTTCGTTCTTCAGCTTTCAGCGTAGGATTTTATATTAATCAACTAGCTATTATCGACAGAAAAATATGAGTTTAGACATGTCAAATGTATCATACGACACCTTATAAGCATTAAAATTCTATTTCGAATTTATGTTATAAAATATCATAAGAAATACAAATCT